AGCATATTCAGATGTAAAGAAAAGAAGCATTTAGACTATTGCTTTTTTTGAAGTGTCTCTATGCTTGGGGGTGCAAGGTGGTAGTGTGCTAAAATCCAAAGCTTTTGAAAATCAAAAAATTGTCAAAAAACAGGCTCACAGCACAAACACCTCTGTGTTCTTTACAGTATCTGATGTAAAGATATTTAGGTATCCACCCATTCTGCTTCTTCTCACCTTGGAAGAAGCTGGACAGATCTAGCCAAAAAATGACAAGACATTCTAGTACCTCATCCAAAATTCTCTCAGCATCATGTGAAGAACAACAGCTGTGATCAGTGAGATTTATCAATTTAAATAACATTGTTACAAGCTCAGACATAGTTTTACAGAAACATACAGTGCTATGTCTGAATTACATCACCACTAAAAATCCAAGATGAATATGAAAATCAGCTGGAAATATGAGAATAACCATTCTCTGCTCATTATATCATTACTACCCCTACTTTTATTCATAAAACATTTTAAAGGTTTCACCATTGTTAGATTCTCCACATATTTTTACACTGCTCTCATTTCTATGCATTTATACTTAGCTAACCATCACTGAACTACTTACAATAGCAGCTGCAATGCAAGGTTACTACAGAGCTCTATAATTCTAAGTTCAGAACCTGATATTATAAGCTGCACACCCTCTGTAACAGAAAGTTTTACAATTTCTTCCATAGCATATGTGCCCTGCTCCAAAGTAAATCACACCTATTTGAGATTTTCCCACTGATAAGAGAAAAGGCCTATTTTGTCCTTGAGTCTCTTAATGCAGTACCCTTCAAGCCATTTATTTCCATGGAAATCTGTAAAAGTTCCTGATTGTTGAGTCATCTATTGTTAACTCAATTGCTCACAGATCAAAGAAACAGTAATAAATCTGCTCACAAATATGGAAGACAAAGTGGGGTTAGATGGTGTCTAGTGAATTTACTACTTTTGTTGACTATTTTCATTTGCTTAAGACTGCAAAGAAAAAGCAGAACTTTCACCTTAACATTGGGTAAAGAAGAAATGCAGTTTAATCTTGAGGGCAAATATTTGACAAAAGAAAGCGCAGAGTAAAATATTGCAACAATATAGATGAAACTAGCAAGCATTTGGAAAATGTATGTATTACAAATTCATTCACATAAAAGTTCACCCTTATTATTAGTTTTGAAGGTATTTTGCTAGACCTGCTCTCGTCCTGCAGTTCACATCTGTGCTACAAACTAAAGACAAAGCTCCTGATATAACTTGATGGCATGTCCAGAAAAAGAGCTGAAATTTGTTCTGATAAACAGTAAAGCAAAAGTAAAAGGGTTTCGATGTTAATGCTGCACTTTTAATTGTGATTCCTGTAGACTTTCCTCTTATTTAACCAAAACTATTCCTGGCTTTGAAAACCAAAAGGAGCCTTAAGAAAACAAGACATTTTAATTTTATTTTTTAACCGTTATAAGATGGTTAGAAAATTTCTCATAATCCCTTGGAATAAGACATATCAGCAAGGGTATTAAAATGAACTGAAAACCAGTACTAGAAATGTATACAACTACTGAGTGAAGACATGGTTAACAGCAGCATGAACTACAGAGCTGAGAGGTTTTCCCCCCCCCTTTTTTTTTGTGCTCCAATATGGTAGAATCCATTACTGTTGAGATACAGAAATATAGGAAGTTAAGATCAAACAAAAAAGTTTTCAAATGAAAAACTGTCCGAGTCTCATTATCACTTACTAATGGTGACAAAAACTCATGTCATCAGTGCAAATTAAGGAAAAATATGGAAAATACGATTGGGATGGATTAAATGAGGTTTTTTTTAATCAGCCTACACAAAGTATAAGAAACTGGATAATTACTTTGCCTAAAAAGGACAGCAGAAATTATGTATCTTCTTAGCCTATTTATTATCGGGCTAGCACAAACAAGCACAAGGCCCAGGAAAGTGACAGCAGGGAAAAGTTTAAATGTCTGTCTGGTGTTCATTACTTAGTACTTTTGTAATGTAGAATATGAAAGATAACAAGAGAAAATACAAGATCAGGTGGAGGAAACTGGTAGATGTTAGAAGGTTTTATTTAGAAGAAAGTTGTTAAAGACCTATATATTAGTGGGCAAGATTCAAAAGAAAAAAATGTTTTTGCAAATAGGTTTTTTCTGGCCAAAGTATCCTAATGTGATTCCTAATGACCTCCTGTTGTATTTAAGATTATACAGGTGAGATATTTTAAGTCTTGGCAATCCTATCTGTGATCCTTTCAAATAATAAATTTTAATATTTTGCTTTGCTTGCTCAAAACTAGTATTTGTTGCCAAATATTAATTACCCAAACCAGATTGTTTATATATTGATTTCTAGTCAGATTTATATGGGAAAGCTAGTATATGGAAAACTTTTTCCTCAGTTGTGTGTATTTTTTTGTTTGCTTTTTTTTGTTTGTTTTTTAAATATTAAAAATAAAACCATTGTTTTGATACAACTAAGAAAAAATTCTGACTTGATTCAATCAAAAATACCACAAATACGTTGAGTTGGAAGGGACTCAAAGAGATCACTGAAACCAATTGCTGCTCCTTGCAGGACTTCCTAAACCCTGATAGAATAAAAGTGTTCCTAATAGCCAGTATAAGTAAGGACAATAGCAGAAATTGTCATCTCTGCATGAATCCAAAAACAATCCAGGTTCCAAAAATTGAAACTACATAGCTTTTACAAGACATATCTAGACATAAATGATCTTCACCACTTTGATGACTGAAATGATCAAATTCTGAAAAATGTTTTCAAAGCTGATGACAGGATAGATTTGAAATATCAACAACCTTAGTATTAAACTGACTAATTCTCCTGGGACAGACTTTAAATGTCAGCAACCTCAGAAACAAACAAACTTCATATATGACCTAGCAAACCAGTTTGGCTGAGTCTAAATATTTACTTTTAAAAACCTGATTTTTAAGACAGATTCCCGACATCTCCTTCAGCACGTATCAATCATCAGTAATTTCAGAACAGAAATAACCCCAAACCCTTTATTTTTTGACTAGTACATCGGTTGTAGAAAAGTAGGCCTTTACTGAATAGTGGCTTCCTTTCTACTTCATAGTTTCAGAATTGAGACAGCAGACATTTAATGAAAAAAATCTAAATTCTAAAGTGTTCACAAGTAACTCATTTGCTGTTTTGACAGGTATTAAATTACATGAAAATAATTTCACCACTGCATACTCCCTTTTATTGTAATACATTACCATTTTGCAGCCAGAGAAGAGAGTCTTGTTAAACAATATGGTGTTAGGAGATATTTGAGTACCTAATTAGGAGACTTGATAAATACACAATGTAAAATTACAGAAAGAATAGTCTAGAACCTTCAAATAAGATTTCTCCCTTGCACGCATACCAGAAATTCTGGGTTTTAATCAAGAGATAAATTTACTATTACAAACATAACAGTTGTAGCTCCTCATATTCATGCTTTTAAATAGGTACAAAATGTACTTGTACTTTGGAAATGTTTCCAGAGGGAAAAAAGAAATAGGTGGCTAGCACTGTGACTTGCAACACTGAATAGCAAATAATTACAGCAGACATTTGGAAAACCACCAACGTTTAAGAGTTTTTCAGTTGTTGGCTAAACAACTGCAAGTATCTTTGCCAAAACCAGAATAAAATGTCTAATCAGAAGTGACTCTTGTGTAGAGAAAATAACTAATTCACTAATCTATTTTAAGAAGCAAGTTTAACCAATTATAGAAAACACTGTGACTACATCGATTTAGTTGCACAACTCAGTTTTCAATTCCAATCTCATTCAGAGTTTACAAGCTCAATCCCATGCTTTAGCAAGTAGAAAAGTTCTTCTTCCTTCAGTGGTTCACCAAACTGAGTTTTAGTAATTAAGGAGTTTACTAGGCAAGAAATGGTGTGCCATTCAACTAGATATATTTTCAGTATTTCTTCTATGGAAATACTTGGGTTTCAAGGTTATTAGTTAACAATTGAGACATGTCTAAATAAATTTAAACATTAAGAGACTCAACACTATCTTTAAATTCATTTTTGCATTTTGTTAAATACTAGTTCTTCCCATGAAAAACTCACCATGAGTGAGTCACTGAAAACAGCACAAAGAAATAGGAAACTTTATTTGTAAGTGGCTTAATAGGAAACTTCATGAAAATACAGTAAAGGTGTCATTGGATGAAAAAAAGTGTGTGTGTGTGTATACATACATACATACATATATATATATATATATAATACAACAGCTATTCCAATTGCCTTGGAGTAAAGAACGTTTTAGGAATATCCACTGAGGGAGAATTACTAGTCTGCCAACAATGCAGAAACTATGTCAGAGAATATATAGAAATGTGTGAAATTCAAGTGAACATGTGAAAAACAAGGAACCTTTAAAACATGACTGCTTAAGGATGTATAAAAGGTAGTCAAGGTAAAACAGGTCAATCTTAGCTATTACAGCTAAGATTAAATGAAAATTGTATGAGACATACAATCCTGATAAAATTTCAATATACAGAGAAATATATGTAATATTTAAAAATAAGAGTAGCTAGAATTTGTATACATGTTTTGGATATACATTAAAAGGAAATTTGAACTCAAGATCTTTCAAGAAGATATAAAAGCAGCAGATGCTCTAAATCTTCAAAACAGAAATCAACAGCTTTCTTAGATGCCTCCAATTCAGTGCATGCTCATTAAAACTCTGGTCCCAAAGCAAAAAAAAAAATTGCTTTAGAGCATGTACATATAGGCAGCTTTATATTATTTCAATAGAGCACAAGTTAGAACTAAAAGTAAAGGATTTTGCTTCAACTTATAATTTATCCCACAAAATGTTACATTCTTGTGCCAAAAAAATTCAAATACATTTATCATCAAATGCATAGCAATTTTTTTTTTTTTTTTTAACTTAAAAAAAACAAACACCAAACAACATAATTTCTACTAACCTTCGGGATCAAGGAGTTTCTCTATTCCCAGGTGTTTCCTGGCTATGTTGAAGGCATGGTCTAATCGTTGTACAGGTGACTGCTTGGAAACAACAGCGTTCCAATCAAATAGGTCTGGTCTAAAGCAAAATTAAGAGGAAGAATAAGTTTCTTATTTGTTTAGTCTTACATTTACTTACGTATTTCTAAAGCTAAGCATCAGCATCAATTCTATTTTTGTAATGAAAGATCATGTTAATTGGCCCTGGGACTACTGAAGCTCAGTTTCTAATGGGTTTGTAATCGATTCTCATTGCATTCTACTCTCATCCATGTCCACCACAACCACAGTGTCCCTATTTCTTATTTCCACCAAGTCCCAACAACCTATAAGCTCACATCCCTGAACCTGCTGCTCTCCCCCACAGCACTGGGCTCCTGTCACTGCCCACAGTGCCCAGATCAGGAGCTGAGGCCATGCACTCAGGACTGGCATGTGGCAGGACGAGCAGGACACAACTGCTGAGGCCATTAGGGGGCCTTTCTCCTCTCCCCAGCTACCAGCCTTTCACTTCAATTAATATTTCTAAGAGTGTAATTGCTTCTGAGATTACCAGCTCATTGTTACAGCAGATTGAAATAGGTCAACAGGTTAAAAAATTCATGGAATCATAGAAACATTTGGGTTGGGAAACACCTATAAGAACATAAGAGTTCAGCTTTTACCCTAACATGGCCAAGTCACAATTTACATGCTCTTACAGGAAAAGACAGAATGACCAAAACTGAATTATAGCTCAGATGCACAGCCTGGGACCTTGCATTAGCAGCTGCACTATTTGCAGTATAAATAATGTTAGCACTGCTTTTCATCTGAGAGTTATCCATTAGGAAATCAGAATTTGTTATCAGGCACTCTGGAGAAATAAAGTTTCATCAAACACCCTGTAATTACTGTGCATGTAATACGAAGAAAAACAACTATGCTATTTGTGATTTCAATACAGTGTTCTAAATCAGAGGACATTTAAATGTATAATTTCAGCTAAAGACAAATTAAGCACATTATTTACACAATTTAAATTTCACAATTAATGGCATTTACTCACATTTTTATTAATTTTAGAAGATAATTTTAAATAGTCTCCTGAGTTATAATAAATTGAAAAAATGTTCACTACATCATATCATAATAATGTCAAGAGAGTAAAGAAAAAAATGCCCAGTTATGCTCCTGTTATGCACCTTTGCTGTCCAATCTTTTCTGGGAGGGGAGTGGTTTACATAGTAACTCTGAGTTACTCTAAGTTGTTTTGCTCCTCTGCATACATGCTTAGAGTTTTCTCCTTCCCACAAGCAGAATAACTTCAAAATACAAATTAATGTTAATTTAATATTAAATCTGGGCTGGGAACAGAGTGGAGAAGGGAGAGGAAACTTAGGTCGCAATGTCTGGGTTTACTCATGGAAGGATTAAGTCAGTGATCCCACAGACAGGTTTGTGTACTAAAACACAGGCATGCAAAATACACACTATGTGTGCATAATTAGTAAACAAATATTTTTGGCCATACTTTAACTGGGGACGGAGGTAGAATTGTTTATAGCAGTCTACATGATGCTGTGCTTTCAATTTACATATAAATAGTGTTCAGAGCAAACCAGGCATTACCTAAGTGTGCTTACATAAATTCAAGACCATCAGTTTCTCCCTTCACTCTATCTTTCCCAAACCAGTGGGGGACAGATGGGCAAGAAACTGGGAAAGGACAAAGCCAGGACAGGGGACCCAAACCAGTAAAAGGGACAGCCCATGCCATATATCTTGTTCAGCCATAAATACCTGGGTAAAGAAAGGGAATGGTTTTGGGGGGTGTTTGTCTGGGAAGGTGTCTCTTACTTGAAGCATCTATTTCTGCCTTTGCATCATTTGTTTTTCTATTCTTCTTTCCTCCATGTATTAAAAGACTCTAATTTGACTCAAGAGTTTTCTTGTTTTCATTTTTCCTGGGAGAACAGTGGGTGAAGCAAGCAAGTGGCTGCTGGGTGCTCAGCTGCTGCCTGGGGTCAAGCCACCACACCCCTACACCTTATTCTGCAAGCACACAGATACTACTCAAATTCTTATCCTCTCCAAATTTAACACTAGACATAGGATGCACAAGCTCATAAAGCAAATTTAACTAACACTGTAGTAATCAAAAATCTGACTGTTATGGCTGTCTTAAAAAGCTTGGCAAGGATGTGTTGTATATATACTACATGGGCTAGAGAGTAAAGATTATTTAGCAAGAAAAGCCTATAGGACAAAGAGAGGAAAGAATTGTATCCAAGGGACAACTTCCCCCTAATTTTTTCTTTTCTTTTTCTGTTTTTCTCTTTTAATATGGCTTAAAGTTCTAAGCACACCTGCAATGCTCAGAGCTGCACATTATCTTCACATAATCATTTCTTGTTTGGTGACACAATATTTTATATACAGGAACATACTTTCAATTAGTCAGGACTCCACTGGGAAAGAACATGAATATTTACAATTGCTCCTTGAGGAATGTCACAATATTGTCTTACCCCTCCTGAGAAAACCTCTGTCATCATTAATAATATCTAGGATAGTCAATTTCATCCAGCTTTTCAGTTGTATAATCCAGGAGGGAATTTTCAAAGTTAACCTTCCAAGATAGTCTTAAATTATTTTCATTACATCATCTGTAGAGGTAGGACTCTCATTATAAGACCCACAGATTTTTTGTTAATTTGTTTTTGTGGTTTTTGTTTCTGGTTTTTTCTTTTAAAAACCAAACACTCTAGCACTCAAAAGAGTTTCAAACATCACGTCTTAATGCCTGGGTTGAATTTGCATGCTGCTTGTGTAGAGGACATGCAGCATCTCTTTCCACTTATTACAGATGGTAAAAATTTGAACCCTCTGAGACACAGCCAGAGGAGAATTAGTAAGCTTTAGTATGTGACTGTCAGATTTCTTATCAATTTTCTTAGTGTTGTGCATAAAGCAGACAGCACAGATTCCAAGACAACTTAGAAGTACATGGCCACCTACTGCAACTCAGCTCTGATAAGCACTGATTTAATTAAAATAAAAATAAATTCAAAAAGCTCTCTCTACTCCAGAAGTTAACAGCAATTTAACTTTCCAGATTTTCCCTTTGTTGAAAGATTATGTTGCTATACACATTTCATAGCTCTATCACTAGAATAACAGTGTCATAATGTCAGCTTAAAGCATCAGCTTCTCAGTGCTATGTGTCAGGATGTTTCACTGGGTGTATTTATGTTGAAATATTGCCAAGTGTGATTGTGGGAATTATTATAGCCTAGAAGATTAATAATTGTGGCAAGCGGAAAATAGCTTTTGAAAATCCCTAAAACAACACTGAAACTGATTTTCAAATTACAACTCCTATTAGCTTTAAAAGGAGTTTTAAATGCAGGAGTGAGAAGGTATGAAACAGTAAAGGAAATAAATTAAATGGAATACTGATTCTTTGCCTTAGTTTTTGCTCTCCATATTGTTCAAATAATACTAAAGGAGATGAAACTTATATCTGCAGCTTGGGTCCTGTCTGAAAGGGACCAAACCCAAGCATTTCTCACTCCTCCTCCTGAACAATACAACCACTATAATTTCAAAGTCAGAATTAAGTAGAACATGCTAAACTTTATCTAGCCATTCAATCAGCTCAATCAGAATTATTCTTATATTAGTTTATGACAAGAACATGGAAAGCCAAAATTGAAACGACTGAAGGCTTCATTGGAGAAGTTTGCATTGTAAAAATCAAAATTTCTATTGAACATAAGGTAATTTTTGTACCAACAGCTCTTTCCTATCACTAGCAGAAATGCAAACAATAAAAAAAAAAATAATAAAAGGGAAAACAAATTTGAATTTTTTCAAAACATATTTTCAGGAAAAATAAAGTAAAAAAAGAGACTCCCTACAACCCCTCTGACCCCCAATTACATAACTTACAACAGAACTAGTTAAACCAGAGTGAGAATATTGAGAATATTTAATCTGGAATATACTATCAACAAACAAATCCTGACAGGCATCTATGTAGATATTAAAGTCATGGAAAAGAAAAGCCAGAGTTTTCCATTATTGTAGACAGAAAATAGTCATATTTAGATCATAAAATTGACCATCCCCATATCAAAAGAAAAGTTGTGTGTTTACTGCTTCAGCTTTTTATACAAGAATATCTTGTACATGCCTTCAGAACTCTCACAATTAAAAAAGGCCAGGAGAGAGCAACTGATACATAACCTAGTGATTTGTTAAAAAAATATTATTTTCATACCTCTGATCCCTTTGTTTTTGCTTTTACTTTTCCTATAAACTACTGAAAAAACCTTTTTTTTTCCTTCTGTCCAGGAACTCTTTTTGATGTCATTTTCCTTCCCTCCTCATTCTAGCACCCTAAAGCAGAAAGAGCTGCAGTGAAGTGTTCATTTGTAAGGCAGTCACCTGACCTAAGTAAAGAAGCAAGGAGGAAGATAATGAATGCCAACTTTTCCCACTTCAAAATCCTGATTATAGGACCAGGGGAAAAAAGAAAAAACAGTCCCCACAAAGTCAAAGGAAAGAGGTAAAGCTCTCCCTGATATCCACCTGGAGGAAAAAGATTAAAAGAAGTAAATGGGGTCTTTGTGATCTGGAGACTGAAGAAGGGAGAGTTTCAACTGTGGAAGGACTGACCTCTCTTTATCAGCAAAATATTTTAGTTTCTGTATATTCCTAGGGTGATCATGGAACTCCACAGCTGCTGCCTTGTGTTTTCAGTTCAGTGCAGAACATACTATTCAAGAGATCATGTGCCAAGCTTATATCCTGAAAATTCATACTCTGGGTCACTAATGTGCCCTTGGAGATTTGCCAGGTGACCTTTGTTCCACTGCTTCCTGCACTCAGCACTGAAAGCAATTGCTAAGGAACCCAAATGTCCATGGAGACATGGTGATTACAGAGATGGGAAAGTCTACCTAAAGTAACCCCTTTATAAAATGACAGAGAAAGAGCATTAGAAAAATCTGATCCAATCAAAATAGTAAGCTGAAAGCTAGTGATTGTTGGGTTAAAAGACTATGAAAATAAAGCTTCCCACTGCTCTCAGCATACTATGTGGTCAGTGCTTCATGATAGTTTCTTACTTTATCTCAATCCCTTTGAGGTTGTGCTTAGAAAATTCAGATGCAAATTTCACATTATTGTCGGAACCTCTTAAAAAAAAAACCACAACAAAAAAAAACAACCCCAAAACTACAAACCAAAACAAAAAGCCACCTGTTCATCACTGAAAACATTACATAAGAGAAATAAAAATATCACCATCCATAAATTAAAGGGATTGGTATGAAAAATAAATAGCTTTAATGATACCACAAAATCTACCCTCACTTTCGGAGAGTCTAAATATTATGGAAAAAAACCAACTTTGAGTAGCATTGCTTTCAGTGTTGGACAGATTTTTCGTGTTTGATGTTTTCTGTTGTGTTTTGGAAGTTCTTTTAGTTTTTTCTTGTTTTTGTTTTTGTAGAAGTCTAGGAGTAGAGCTAAAATTAGGAAAAAAGGGCACACACTAGGCATCAGGTCCACTGTATGAGTTAAATATCATACCAGATTTTCAAACTATAGCTATCCTTTCTTATAACCTTTCTTATATCTTTTCTGCTTCCATTCCTGTCAATGCAGAGGAATAAAGTCAGAGGATAAAAGGAAAAAAGAAGACAGCATCTGGACAAAACTTTATGGAGAACAAGGAAATAGACAAGAAAGAAGCAGAACAGGAGAACTGGAGAAATAGGGGATTCTGAAAAAAAACCCAAAAGAACAGTCTGGAAAAATTGATCAGGGAAAAGAGAGGAGTTAAATTCAAAAGTGTTTGTCATCAGAGTGTCTATCATTCTATGTAAGTAAATCACAAAATATTTATAAAGCATAGGATTTGTGAGACACCAGGTTTCTCTGAGAATTCATGTAAATCACTCTTGGGACAACTTTTCTTCAGTGTATATCCAAATTGCCTTCTTTAGGCACTAAATCCCAGCCACTCTGACACCAAACAAGTCTCTAATGTACCTGCATCGTAGAGTGATTGAATTAGGCTCCTTAGAGAAGGTTTTTTATTAATATGGGATACAGGTAGGAGCTCCTGAGCACTGAATGTCCTAGTGTACCTATTTAATTGATTCCATCTGGAATTTTCAAGGACAATCCAGTGTTCCCACACACTGAACATGAAATGAAAAGTCAACAAAAATCAAACATCATTGATTCATCTTAAAAGTTACTGCATCAGGGTTTTGGAGGGAATGAGGAAATGAAACTCTTGCAGAGAACTTAGTGATTAAGTCCAGAAGATGACTGGTGTGTCTTGGGGACTTGCCTCTGGGAATCTGACTGAACACTTGCCATCTCCCAGACAACTGCAGTAACTGCTGGGCAAGAGACAAGACTTTGGTGGAGTAATTCTTCACTTCTATTGAAAATAGGCTCACTGTGCAGAAAGCTATGCAAGATTTATGGCAGCAAGCAGAAGAAGAGTAAAAGAAAGCTTAAGTTTTTCAGCCCTGAATTACAAAACCTGAATAAAGCACATAAATTCCAGTAAGCAGGAAATGAATGTTCATCTGGTGAACTTTGCACTGATCTGAACACAGCAGTGCATTAAGTCTGACACAGGACACAGAGATTTGTCTAGACAATCCCAGTGTGGTTTACTGGCAATTGCACTCCCCAGCCAGGGACTCATCCTGATTAAGTTCCTCTGTTCCGACTTCTGAACCTAATTCCTACAGAGAAGGACAAAAAGGAATTTCTGATTACTGATTTCAGATACCAGGTATTACATGGTCCTGCAGAGCATGCAATCTGAATATCTCAGTATCAGATACCCCAATCAGGGAACAGGCGGTCTGATATTGTCTCTAGGTGGAAAGACGTTGTGGAAAGATGACTGGGGGTAAAATCAGAGGAAACAGAGGAGTTATATTCACATCCTAAGAGAGGTTACAATGCTATGGAAATTTTAGGGAAAAAATTCAGTTGCAGCTCCCTGTGGAATGTGGTTGGTGTTCTAGGATGATTACCCACATGGTGGGATTGTTTGTCAGTTTTCCACATTGTCTTGGGATTTGAGAGCCCTCCTCACCATCTTGCCTTTGTTCCCAGCTGCCACGTGGAGCAGCACATGGAAACAGTCACCATCTTGTCTTTGGGGAAGAGACATGTGCAGGCAGCATCTGTCATCTTCTTTTCCTGGCTGCCACATGGAACCAAGTCAAGGGGGTGACCATCTCCTTGTGAGAAGAACACCCTCTCTTTCTGTATGCTTTTGTTATTATTATTGCCATTGTTGCTGTGCATTTCTTATTCCATTATTGTTTTCTTTCAATAAATTGTGATCCCAACACAAAGTCTGCTTTTGCTCCTCCCTTGCCAGAGGGGACAGAGGGAAGGGAGTGGCTTATCTGGAGTTTAATTTCTGGATGTTGTTTAAACCACTACACAGTTAAAAAAGTTCAACTTCCTAGTAATTTGAGCAATCAGTGACTGTGCAGGACAGTCCCCTTTAAGAGAGAAGTATAGTAGAAGGGAAAGAGAGGTTGGGAGGTTTATCATGTTGGAAAAAACAATCCTGCTTTAGAAGCAGCAGTGGCAAGAAATGGTCTTTTAGATAGATTGACTTGCACATCTTCTTTAAGCCACGTACACAGAACCCCCAGAGAACCCTGAATCTCTAGAGGTAGAGTTTTATACAGCACAGACTAGAAGAAGGTAACTTCTGAGAGAGGCTAAAAACTCAGATCAGCTGGTGGAATAACATGAAAGGTTTTGAAAACAAAGGCTACCTTCTCCAGCTGTGTCCTTGCAAGGCAAATCCATACTTTCAATTCAGCTGCTATGAGAGGCTTTCAACAAACACCATATTTTCCCCCTCTAAGTACCCACTAAGGAAACTCTTTCTCCCTCTGGGACAACCTCAAAGGCTTAGTTTTGGATCTACTCCTTGCTCTTGTCAAAAGTTTCCAAGCCTGTACTCCTTGAGACTATCCTCTTGGTATACACACTGAAATTCCAGAAAAGGATCCAAGCTGTGTATATTTGGTTGTGCTGTGAAAAGCTCTCCCTCCATGACAGGATTTAGTATAACACCAAATGCAGCACCCAGGTTGAAGCAAACAGTTGGTCACTTAAAAGAATGCTGAAACACCCACAGAGGAAGCAGCAAACCCCCCACATAATAGATAGACTGTCCTCGAGCCCTGCTACAGCCATCTGTCACAAGCTTACTGAAACAGTGAAAAGCTACTTTTCCTACCTGTGGCTGTGGAGGAGTGCGTTGAAAGCCAATCCATCAGACCAGCTAGTGGTGAAATTGGTAACGTTGACCTGTGGGTAATTGCGAGTCAATTGACGGACCCAGCTCAGCAGAATCATCTCACTGTTTGTCTGCTGCAGTCCAGCCATGATGTTTTTCATTACATCTTTGACCTGCAATAAAAGACAGAATTTGATCAATGATTGAACTTATAAAAAGCTGACTATTTCTTTTCTTGAAATGAAAATCCTTCACTTAAATAAATTTCAACCTTAAAGAAAAACTCCTAAGTAATTAATGAACATACCTGTTTTCACAATGCAATGACAGCAATCAATTCTGAATGCTTAAAGACAACAGCTACTGGCATGCACTGAATGCATTCATCCCTGTGCCACAGGTGAAGCAGAGACAGAGAAGGCACATTTTTTTAGCATCACTTGTGGTAACAGAGTTCTTTCAAACTAAGTATTTCTCCTTGTGGTTTTCTTTGATCTGGAAATACATCCTTAAATAATATGATACATTACAGCAACAGTTGATAAAATGATGAACAGAATTCTTCTCTCATTGATGGAGTTGAAATAGTACCAAGGCAAAATAAATTTCCTCAGCGCATGGTAGATAATGTTTTTGACTTAAAGGTGCAAACTGTATTTGCATACATGTACTTGGATAAAAGGTCAATATCATTGCATGCATTAAAAGAGTATTGCATATGTTTCAATTTTATTATTTTAATGAACTTAGTATTTCTTTTTCACTTTTTTTTTTTTTGTAGATCTTACCAATCTACAGTTATTATTTTACAAAAAGCCTAAAGGCTTTTATAAATATTATCCTGGAGTTTGACATAATGCAGTAGATTTTTTATTTCCTATCATTTTCTTTACTAGTAAAAGAGCACATAACACTTCTATTAAGAATTATTTTCCTGTAAAGTAACACCTTTTCAATAATTGCTTTCTCCATTTATCTTTTAGAATTGCAGCTCTTTTAAAATATTCCCTAAGATATAATTTAACTATAAAGTTGATTAGTGCTGCTTATTCACTCAGGGAATATTGCATACAGTTAACAATAACAACAATTAATTACTGAAATATTTTAGAAAAAACAGAGATAACATTTTAGTGTTGAGTACGGTAAGTTACTCTCTAGATTCAAGTAATTAATTCAATTGTTTGATTTTGTGAAGATATGAATTACTGAAATAACACCTTGGGTTTGCATCTCAAGTCATATTGCCCAAACAGCATCAGTGCCCTTAATTTTCCTTTTGAGACTTATTCACAAACTTTACTTTATATGTTATTAGTTTCTAAGATGGAAGGAGTAACTTATCATCTCTAAATTGCATGGGATATGTTCCTAACTTTAGTCTTAGATTGTAATTTCCACCAATGAAAATAATATAAATTCAGTCAGATAAGAATATTTTTTTTTATAGTTTTCTCCATTCTTAGATCAGGAGACAGAAAATAAAGTGTAAGAAAATTAGGAAATATACTCTTTATTTTTGCTCCACATAGCAGAGTGGGTATTTTGAATTTCTTGACAATATTTTAGTGTCTTTATTTTTGAGAGATGACAAAGTAGATTTACATAATGTAGTAAGAAGCTGAGATTTGGCATCTGTATTCCTAGGCACCTTCACTACCATAACATTATAGAATCCTGTTTTTTATTTTTTTTCATTAATCTGGATGCTATAAAAGAAAAAAAAAACAAAAAACCAAAACCTTTTGAAATTAGCATCTATTGCACTATACTTAAATAATATGAAAGACTAGAAAAACTGAAGTTACAGTTAAGACTTGTCCAAGCTAAGATTTCATTGTTCATTTTTAATTTTGTTTTTTATCATATGCTTATATTTAAAAATTCAGATCTTTCTGAATATTAAGCATATTCTGAATATTTGCTTATATTAATATAAGCAAACTAACTTTTGAACAATACAACACACATTTGCATTAAAGGATAGTTGAATAGGAACCCCATAATTAGAAATAGAAGGGTTCACAACACAGAACTGATTATGTGTTTGAGCTGATATCAAAGAGAAAGGAGCTATGTTTATGAACAGAGATGATTAGACAAAATTAGTAAAAAAACGGGGCAGGAGAAAGGCAATTATTCAGAAGACTCCAGGTGATGAATCTAAACACAGCATTTATTTTTACTCTTCAGTAAATGAATACAAAACAGTTTCAATCTCACCCTGCTGAGTTAAATATGCTTACAAGATAAAGTTTTGCTTTCCTTTCCCTGCATTTCTTTGCAAGAGTGAAGACTGTTAAATTTATGATTTTTTTGTTGCCTCCTAGGGAAGGTCAGACACTTGAAATAACAGAGTAAAAGGGTCTGATCTCATCCTGAATGCTGAAGCCACTTCCTCTTCAGTGGGAACTGCTGGATAACTCCACTTCTACACCTGGAGCCACCTTGTCCACCTGAGTGTCCTGGGGGACATTGCCAGCCCAGCCCACCCAGCACCTTGGCAGCCCCTGCCACAGCTCTGCAGGCACAGCATCACACTGTCTGCAGGATGGCCGGGTCCTGGAGCAAGATCAGTGCCTGAGAATGACAGTGCTGGCTGGCATTTTGGTGAAAAGGAAGCTTTTTTGAAGGCTTCTCAGTTAAGATGTACTGCTGGAAAAGTGGCACATCGAGATGTGTTCGTGTCAGCCTGAAGAGCTTTCAGACAAACTCCCTCAGCATCCAGGCTCAAATACTACAGCTATTTCAGAGTGCCTCTCCCTCATGCTGTCAGATGATGAGTTGACCTCTGCTACTCATTTCTTTGTTACCTCTCCTTTCTAATGCAGTGTATCCTGGCAGGACACAAAGCTTTCAGGTGTAGGAAACTCTGACTTCCAGAGAACAGATACACTTGCTCTTCCTGGGGAAGGGATGCTACAGCAATAAGGAAAGATTACATTTTGATAGAAGGTGGGGAAAGGACAATACAGATGTCACCAAGATGGCTTTTGAAATGCCAGGCTGCCAAAAGGAAAGCTGTGGACAGAATGAGGGCACTGCTGTTCCTGTCACCACGTGAAGACAGTGGCCAAAAGCAGCACAGCCAGCCCTGGCTGACAGCACCAATGGACCTTTGATCTTCCCACTCTAGGGCCATGTCCTGGAATCTGGGCATGTGTTGCTGTGTGTGTAAGATGACAAGGAGCACAGCATAATCTCAGGCTCACACTACAGCTCTTTCACCTAAAACCAACACTCAGGCACATAATATTTTGTCAGACTGGCACTTGGCTTCAGTACTCAAGACCCTGGAAAAGGAAGAAGATATCTAAAGAATAAAACTGCTCTTAAAGTTAGATTTTTTTTTCATTTTTCCTAATAAAATAGGAAATTTACATCTCCCTGACAGAATTACTTAGCTTTTTTACTTGCTAGATTTCAGCTATTCTGATTGTATAGATTACATTTTTATAGCTAGAACCATTAAACTCTTTCCAAATACATTTGATAGAACACTTTTAAGGACATTTTCATAGGTATTCAAGACACCTATCAAAGTAAAGGATATTTTTTGTCATTGATTCAAGATGGATTGACAGAAGCATTTTATTTCCATAATCAAAAATCTAAATTAAGTAAAATGGTAATTCATATTAAAATACTGGTGTGAACAATAACCCTGATGCTTTTAGTAAGTCTCCAAATGAGGCTGACAGGCTGTTAAAATGCTCCCCTCTAAAATATTTTCCTTATGTTTAGATCTATTATTTTATGATTTTTCCCACAGAAAGTCAAGATTTGGGTCAAATATTTTTGCTAGAGGTTTTCTTCCATGCTTTTCATGAAAATAAGTTCACTCTTCAACAATTTACACACTGCCATATAAAATGTTTTTCCACTCTTAAGAGTTTATGAAACATAAAAGTACAGAAATTAATAGTTTTCCTCTGTTTTTATTTAAATGCTAATGCTGCAGTGAGGCTGGGATCACAGAGCTGTGAGAAAGAGGGCAGCAGCTTCAATGCTAATGCTGCAGTGAGGCTGGGATCACAGAGCTGTGAGAAAGAGGGCAGCAGCTTCAAGGAAATCCTGATGGATTCAATACCATAAAGAGCTTTGGCAGCAGGTGCTCAACTCAGAACAATACTTCAATTTCAGGAAAAATTTTAATAATAATCTGAAAAAAACAGGCTAGATAAGAAAGAACACAATCAGCACAGGGGATGCAGAAAGCCATGGTATTTCCACTGCACAGAGATGAGAGTGGCAACAGTGCATCAAATCCTGTCCATTGCAGTGCCTTTACCACCTCTACCACTCTCCTCAGTGGGACTGCTGATACCCATTTGGATTGGTACTGGCATTATTCCTTTCATGCACCTTTCTTCTACCATCTCTTTTTAAAGCTATTTTTACACAAAGAAATTAACATTTTTGTAAGAGACCATCATGTTGTCATATGTATAAGTACAGCTGTGTCCTTATGCACTACTGGCTGCAAGATGTGAAACTGGAGAAGTTTTTGCCTGTTCATCTACAACAACACAAGTGTTTACACAAACAGTAATCTCATATCTTTTCTTGGTGTTTTATGTTCTAGACGTAGACTGATGAATTTCCTCTAAGTGACTCTTTAGATCTGCAAAAGCAGGATTTCACCAACAAACACAAACTACACAAGCATGCACTAAATCAAACAGCCTGTGGATTCCTATTTATTTGACTCTAGGCCTTCTACAGACTACAAACAAATATAGTGGTCTTGGAATTTCACCAAGCTGAGACAAGTGGCAGATAAGTTCAGTGGCCCTGACTCTGTATGAACAATTTATTGTGTTTCCAGCTGCTTCTTGTCAGGGACAATCTGTGATAGGCAAACCAACAGGAAGAAGAATTTCTTAAGAAATCCACAGCTGTGTTTCACCATAAGTTCTGTCAGTATGTAAGATCATGCCTACTTATAAACAGGGCAGAGCCATTAGAAACGTATTCTAGATCATGCAATTAACTTTCAAGTTTGAAAGAAAATCTGGAAAAGAACAGACTTTCTCCACAGAGCTGTAAAAAAGCAAATTTACTTTGAACTCTTCCAATACTTTGAAGGAAATAGGCAGCAAAGAAATACCTCCTGAGTGTTTTGTTATTTTTTAAGGAGAAAAGCCAAAATATACATCTTCCATTTTATTTT